TTGCCTTATTTTGAAAATCTATTCAAAAACTATCCAACTTCTGGAACAGCATAAACTCTTCTGTAATATTCACTTTTTATTTGTTAAATGCAACTTTCTTATGATAATATTTAATATCTTGGAAAAGGCAAATATGCAGGCTATTTTGACTACAGCTTAAATTAATCTTAATTTGGGCAAAATTAGAAATCACACCTGAGCATTGTTTCGAAAATTTAGTATAAGAATACCCATCACTTAAAAACTTCAGACATAATTCATAGTATCTCACTTTTGGTATTGTATTGCTGGAAAATAAGTAAATTATTATTTAATCATAATTAATTGTATAGCATATGTCAAGAAAAGCTTTATGTAATGTTTGAAACAGTTTCATGGTTAAATGTAGAGAACCTTATTTTTTGTATATCATGATGTGAAATATGGGGCTTCCAAATTATCTTTGTTTCATATAAAATAATAATAAAATAATTATCCTTTAAAGATATTTTTCAGCCAAATTTTCTGCAAAAATCCAATAATTACATATTTTTGATCCTGCAAAATTTAATTATGACATCAGTGCTATTTAGTCAGATATCAGAATTTTAAATTGCAGCATTCGTTACAAAAATTACAACTCTGCTAAACTCTAACGCCATTTTAAATCAGATTAATCTTAAATTAGGCCAATAGTAATATTTTACATAAATTATTGTCGGAGATGATGCTGAAATTTAGGGTTTTTATTTAAAAATATAAATTTTACTAAAACTCACCTATACCCTTTAATTATTCCTTAAACTGTCAGCAGTTGGTGGCTATATTTGGCCGCTAAAATGTCAAAATTATTGTTTCTGATCTATTTTTATCAAAATCTAAAATAATTTAAAAAAATTTATATATTAATATTATTTTTAAATTATAAGAAAAAAAATAAAGTTGTCTATATAGTGAAAATTTTAAAAATCAATTTTTTTTTAAAAAAAATATAAAATTTTATCTTTATTCATTGACCAACTTTTTAAAATTCTATGTATAAGTCCCATATAATTCTGATGCAAATTAAAGAATTTGGTTTAAAAAATAACTTTAATTAGTAAAATTTTTATAATTTTATAAATAAATTTTTAACTTTTATAATAGCAGAGATTTTTTAAAGACAAAAACATATAAAAATTTAAAAATTGATTAAAAATATTTTAAAAATTTAATAGTAAAATTTTAGAATGGCTGTATTTCAAACTAAATCACCTTAATATTATTTAAATTAAATCAAAAGTTTTACTTAATATTAATTTAAAATATCTTAAATTTTATTTTAGCTTAGAAATAGGGCATATACTTAATAAAATTTTATGTTATTGTAAAAAATAAAAAAAGATATTCAAGCAGCCATATTTGGCTTTAGGGATAAACCCAAATCTTAAATCCTAATCCAACCCTAAAAAAAAAAATCTAGAAAATACACCCTAAAAAATTTTTAAATTTTCATATTAAATAAGTTCAAATTTCAGCATTATCACTGACAATTATTTATTTACATGTACCATTTCTTATTTTTACGATGATAAATGGCTCGAGTCAAATATAAAACTATATGCTTTCTTTTCTTGAATTGCAGAATTTTTGATCATTTGAGTACAATTATACTTATTTGCAAAATTCAAATATCTGAACACGTCAAAAGTAACTAGGTCTCTACTGGGATATTTATTAAAATCATGAAAATATTTAATCACTTTATTTTTCTAAATTCTTAAAACACATATTATACCGCCTTTTAAAATTGGAATTCAAATACTTCTGACCTAAAACTAAATTGGCTATACAAATAAATTACGGTAAATCTCGTTCCAGTTCATGACAGCAAGCATAAAATTTTGCAAGTATTTTATATTATAAAAGAAAGTTATAATGAAATATATACAACAAAAAGGAAGAATATAGTTAAACTATAACACTTAATACAAGTATAGATCTTAAAAAATGACTTGTAATATTAGTGTGTCAATAAAAATAATCATTAGCATAATACTCAAGTTGTAAATTTTGTCAATTCTGGTTATTATGAATGTTTAAACCTAGAATTACAACATATCAAAATGTTTCCAATTATACTCTTATGATCCATTATGCATTTGTAAACATTTATATTATTTCTACAAGGTACCTGTAGATATTTAAAGAGATGTTATCAAATACGTATTTAATATAAATGCTCAAACATGAAACAGATAATATCTCATTGACAACTCACACACATGTTTTCATGAGAACATACCGTTAGATTTGAAACATTTGATATTCTGTAAATGTTCGCTAAAAATGTGACAACATACTACTTGAAAAATATGTTCTATATAAGTATAATATAAATATAATAGCATAATTCCGGATGGAAATAAATTAGAAATCGAGCGAAGTTCAGAAATCATCAGAAAAGAAAATGAATGAACATAAAAGACTAGAAGGGTTGGGATAAATTTCGAATAATTAATAGTTATCAGGCAGGCACTGCCTGATAACTGGTTTATTTGGTCAAAGATTTAAAATCAGACTAAGAAATTGAATTCCGAAGGAATTCAACTTCTTAGGCTGACTTTAAATCATTTGACCAAATAATTAAGTTATAAGGCATCTGCATGATTGATAACGGATTTATCCGGTAACTTATGACGATAGTCTGCCCAATAACAATTTTATTATTCGGCAACTATGTAGTTTCTGCCGAATAATAAATTTATTGGGCAGACGAATCATAATAAGCTGCCGTATAATGTCTTATATTTTCCGAAATAAGAAATTTTTTAAAAAAATAGGGATATAACTAAATTTTACTGTTGAGTGCATAAATAAATTTCCGAGAACATAAATCTCGGGTAGTTTCAAGAACAAGGAGCCCAATGATATTTTCGTACTCATCACATCACATGATTAAGTGTTCGGCCTAGGTGATAGGATAGTTTAGGCTAATTTTTTTGTGCTAATAAACAAATGACGTCATTGCTAGATTTCAATGTGATGTGATGATCACTGGGTTCCGTGTTCTTGAAGTGTCCCAAAATCTCAAACTAGATTTCCAACACTGTCCGCAGAATCTGATACCTGAAACTTTAAGCTCTATTATAGGTAATGTAATAAAAAAAAAGATCTATTTTCTGCTTTTTTTTTTTTAAAACACCCATGTACTTACAATAGTGTCTCCTTATAAGAAAATGATATTTGTACAGGTACGTTCTACAGAGGGCCAAGATTAAAAGTGGTACGAACATTACGACAGAAGGTGGTAATGTCATGTCATACGGAATGGCACCTTCATTTCATTTCACGAAATGACACGTGTCAAAGGCGAAAAGTGAAAGAACAATATACGGGTTTTTTTTTAAAAAAAAGTGATATCTTATAATTTCGCTGATGAATTGCTCTGGATACTTAACAAAAAAAATTCCTTACAAAATTTTGCAACATATGCGATTAGTTTGTTCATATTGATTATTGATATAAACTTGTGAAATATACATGCTTGTATTTTTTATCACAACGGTACGTTAATTCACATTAATTACCAGTGCCAAAACCAGTGCTATTTGGACTAATAAAGTGTTTCAAAACCGAGAAATTAACGGTCCAATTGGCACTGGTATATGATCCAACACGAGTCAAAAACCCGAGCCAATTCAAGTCACGTACAAAATCCGGTTTAATTCGTGTCATCCGTCGCTAACTGTATCTTTACAGTACATTTTTCTTATAGATCTAATTAATAGACAATAAATATAACTTTTTGATAATTTCCAAGACAAGCGTTTCAACTTAACAAATTGTTTCGTGTCCATTGGCTTCATTCAGAGTTTCATTGCCAATTCTGAACCGCGGATTCCTGGCAGGTTATCCGTTTTGAAACTGGTGGATAAGTGTTCTTATCTATGAGACATCTATAGCATCCAGATATGTAGTTGAGGGTCCAATCAAATAATACGGCACATGCCGTAACCGTATTGATTTCCCAAATAAAATTTACCACCAACTATAATCTAATGTGGTACTTCAAATAGGTCGTTACATGTACAAACGAAACATTCGTTTCTATTAATACACGACAGCTCAGGATGTTTTATTACGAAGATCCAAGGCGTGCATGAGTTTTATCGTTATGGGCACAATGCTTATTGAAATTTCCTATTAAGAAAACTACAGAAGATAGGCATTCCGCAATTGCATGGTATAGGAGTACACAGTACCTATTTTAAAAACCATATCATATTAATGTGCTATAGTTACTAACCCAATAATATATATTATCGGGCAGCTTACTATGATTTATCTGCCCAATAATTTTATTATTGGGCAGAAAAAAAAGTTTAAAATAGTTTAAAATAGTTTAAACTATCGTTTCTGCCCAATAATAAATCATTGAGCAGAAAATTATAGTAAGCTACCCGATAAATCCGTTATCAGGCATGCTGATACTGCCTTATAACTTAATTATTTGGTCAAGGATTTAAGGTCAGCCTAAAAAATTGAATTCCTTCGGAATTCAATTTCTTAGTCTGATCTTAAATCCCTCGACCAAATAAACCAGTTATCAGGCAGTGCCTGCCTGATAACTATTTAATACCAGATTAATATGCGAGCTGCACCGTATCTATTGTATCTAGAGAAGGCGTGCATGATTATAGGCACAATGCCTATTGAATCTTCCTATTAAAAAAATCCTATAGATATGGTATGGATAGCTAGAAATGTATGGTACGTACGGTGTGTACAGTACCCATTTAAAGACCATACCATATCATACTAATATGATATATTACTAATCCAATAATATATACGTAATACCGGATCAATATGCAATCCATATTGTATCAGTCTTTTAATGTGCTTTTTCCAGTTTATATAAAATTTTTGTACGCGAAAAACAACCTCCTTTTTAATTCATCACTAGAGTTAGATATAAATATGTGCTGAAGTATGAAAGCTGTTAACACTATGCTTCATAATTTAAATAATTGAATACCATGGATAATAACATAATAGTACATGAACAATGGCGACCGATTCTAGGAAATGAAATAATTTTGGTAGAACCTAACGATTATGTTAAACTTGGTGTTATTATCTCTAACCAAAGATTAACAGACGTAGAAGAAAATGGAGACAGAGAAAAAAATAGAGACGTAGAAAAAAATGGAGACATAGAAAAAAATGGAGACATAGAAGAAAATGGGGGCATAGAAAAAAATGAAGACATAGAAAAAATGGAAGTATAGCTGAATTACTTCCATATATTCGTCAAAAAGTTAAAATGTGGGGAGCTAATGTTCTTAGAGCCGAAAATATTAAGACATTTATCGATAAAAAAGCCTCTAAAGCTATTAATGATGATTCTGAAAGTGATAGCGAAGATGATTTCGAGGATAAAAAACTGAAAAAAAATTAATTGTCAAGATTTGATTGCATTGCTAGCTTGCTTTCTTCTGCTGAATGTATTGTTGTTCATGATATTTTTCAGACCTTATCCCAATACCCAATCACATTTCCCTTAATTATTCCCAAATTGAACGAAGCGAAAGAATTTAATGTGATGCTTCCTTTGTACACTGGACCAATCATAAAATGGGAACCGAGTCCTGGAATGATAATTGAAAACCGTCTTTTCAGTGATCCATTCAAACTAATCGTTGCTATTCGTATTGGAAAAAATTCACCCGGAAAGAGTACAATTCTTAATCGTTTAATGACTTCTGATTATATGTTTTCTTCAAAATGTGATCCCGGGGCAAAATTTGGAGCCCCATATATGGTTAACGGAAGTGTAGAGTTTACTTGGTTGACTCAAGAAACTTGTAAAATGGATCTATGGAACGAGGTTTTTAAAGATTATTATCAAAATAAAAAAAAAGAAATTGTATTACTTGCAAATTTACACGGCCATGCTTTAGATTATCAAGATCAAATTCGATTTTTAAATCTATTACCTTCAAGTTTCATAGTTTTTATAATGCCTGATTATACAATAAAACAAATAAATAGCCTTGAAGCTCTAATTGGTTCTAAAAAATATATATATGCTAGTGTAAATCATAATGGAAAAGAAAGAGATTGTATAGTTATTAACACTAAAAAATTGATCGAAGAACATACACTAAGCAAAGTGCGCAAGATGTTCAGAGAAGCCTTAAATTTTGATAGCGATAGCGCTTCATTCAATATTTACAAATTGGAATTAGGAACATCGCTTAAAATGGTTGAAGGAATAGAGCTTTCTGAGTCACAAGAATTGATAAATTTTGTTAAAACAAAAACTTGTCATTATACTAAACTGAATATTATGCAACTACAAAAAGGAAATGAGAATCATTCGTATATTTGGCAAGATAATGATGAATTGAAAGAATTGATAAAATTATATATCAGCATACTGACATTGCCCCATGGTAAAAGAAGAAGAGCTCTGACGCATGTTGGAAGAGAAATATCCAGAATTTCTATGGAGGAGTCTTCTGAATTTCGAAATCAAGCTATATTGAAAAGGATAGAATTATCTAAGTCTAGTTTGGTTAATAAGGATGAGGATAGAGAGATGATTCAAAATGAAATTAGAAAACTTTGGACAGAAGTGGATAATAAAAGTTTGGGTTTAGAACACTTTTACCGTGTATTAGGACAATTATACAAGTTTAGAATTAGTGATTTAAATGGCATAAACTTTTTGGATCTACCTGAATTTTACGCAGAATTACTGATTGATGGTCACACTATAGAATTGTTAAATGGCGATGCAGGTACTATACCGGAAGCTTGGTTCTCAGCTATTTGTAGTCATGTTTGTAGAAAGTTTAATGATCTTCGAGTTTATGTGATCAGCATAATTGGCTTACAATCATCTGGAAAGTCGACTCTCTTAAATGCACTTTTTGGATGCAGATTTGCCGTTTCAGTAGGGCGTTGTACTAAGGGTCTTTTCATGAGATTACTATTTTTGGAAGAAGATTTATGCAAGCAACTCGGTGTAGATGCATTTATCGTAATTGATACCGAAGGTCTTGGCGCAATTGAAAAAATAGATCCAGTAAAGAACGATAGAATATTGGTAACGTTCGCGATGGGTATAAGTAATTTAACTATTATAAACGTACTCGGAGAATCGATGAGAGACTTGACAGATATGTTACAAATTGCAATAGTTACGATGGCACGTCTTGAAAAAGCTGAGATTGCACCTGACATTAAAATGGTACAACATATTTCAGAACGAAATAAAGAAAAGCTATCCGAACCAGAAGAAAGTTTTCGCACAGCTCTACAGGAAGCTTTGAAAATAACTGTAGAACAAGATATGGAGATGGGACTTTTTAATGCAGAGTGCCTTAAAATTCTTGATAAAAGAATAAAAGATGGTAAATTCCTTAAACAGTTTCGACCATTTAAGAATGGTGCTACTGTACATGCGCCACCATCGGAGCAATATCATGAAGACATTGTTGATTTATATAATTCTATACTTGACGATTGCAAAAACTTACAAAGAAAATTTAAATTTGAAGAATGGCATACAATAATTCAAAGTTATTGGAGCGCAGTATCACATGAAGATTTTGCTGTACGTTTTAAAAATATCAAAGAAATATATAAATTTATCGAGCATGGAAAATACACGGAAAAAGTAAAAGAAGCAATAAGTGAGTCATTTTTACAACATGAGGAACGAGTCATGCAAGTAATTCGTGCTAAGCTTCAAGGATGGTCGTGCGATAATAAATTGAATGAAAATTCAGATCTTCGCAATAGTGAACTAAAGTTTATTTTATCTTGTAATATACAAAGAGATGCCGACTGTGAGGAATGTAAAAAAGCAAATAACAAATTAAATGAATTTGAAAAGTACCTAAAGGAAGAGAATAATCAAAAGTTTTATATAGAGAACAAGCAAACCATCAACAACTATATTGAGCTTAATAGTCAATCTGCATCATCAAAGCTTGTGCATATAGTAGAAGCCAATTTTATTCAGAAAGGTTATTCGTCACAGTTTTTAAATATTATAAACAAAGCTTTGGAAGATATAAGGAATAAAACAAATGGAAAATTTTCTGATGATGAAATTACACAAAAAATTACAGAAATTTGGAATTTATTGCGAAATAATACATCATCAAATTACCCGGTTACTCCAATAGAGGATATAATATATTCTGAGGTCAAATCTGCATACTCTAGTTGGTTATCGATCATGTCAATTGACAATGAATACAAAGACGGAATCATTCCAGATTTACATGAATATGGACCGATAACAAAACGAGTTTTACCAAAACAAGATATCGATATTATTGAAGAAAAACTTGATAATTTGACAGATTTAATTTTAAAAGAAAAACCTCAACATTTTTATAATGGTATAGTGAATGACCTCAAAAGTAAAATAGAAAAAACGTTTTCTGATTATTCAAGTATTTTTAAATCTTTTCCTTTGTTTAAACGTCAAGCTCACATTTATGCCTTGTTAAAATTTAAATTAAAATTGATAGAATATCAGAAAATATGGGATGAAGAAAATCATCCACTTTACATACTTGATCAAAAGAAAGAAGAATACTCTAATATTATTAAAGCTCGGCTTCAGCATGAATCTACACTTGTTTCTGAAGCATATATAGTTGCTGACTATTTATTAAGAGTTATTCATAAAAAAGCAATGAAAGCAGGGAATTGTGCACTCAAAGATGCAGTAAAGAAGATTCCATGGTTGACTCGTACAGAGACAGTAAGATTAAAGTATTTTGAAGAACTCGCTAAGGAAGTTCAAAATGGCTATAAAGAAAATGCTTTAAATCATTTCAAAAATCCGAAACATCATTTTGAAAGTTGGTTCAAGTCTACTATTGATAATGTTGTAGATGAGAATCCGGAGCATAAATACAATTATACTTTTAAAAGAGAGATAAGCCAGGTTTATAATAAGATTAGCAGCTGTAAAAATTATAAAGAAATTAAATTATTTGTAAATAATTATATGACAAAAGTTGACAAAATAGACTACAAATTAGATATTGAGGACTCCGTAATATCCGAAAATAAAGATTTCAAAACCTTTTGTGAAATTATAATAAAGGAGATTAGTGTCAAAATGGATAATTGCTATTCAAACCAAGAAAATAAAGAGCCTTTTATAAAGTTATCTGATGATAAATCAATTATGAAAATGCTTGGATGCACTGAAAGTTGCTACTTTTGTGGTGCTTTGTGTTGGGGGTCTTTAGGACATCACGAAAATAGTGATGATTCGAAAATTCACTATACCAGTCATCAGCCACGTGGCTTTAGAGGGACAAAGGATCAAGAAACGAAAGAGCTAGTACCAACGGCATGCCATTGTATACCAAATGATTACGAGGTTTGGTACCTTGGTAAAAGCGATCCAACAGAATGGTGCACTGCAAAAGATAAAGATTTTTCTAATTGGAAATTTAAACCTCATTATAAAAAAATGTTTAATGATCTTATGTGTTGGTTTTTTGTAAAGTTGCATGAAGATTTAGCAAATTTTTATATATCTGAGCCGGTATCTCGTAAAAGTTTAAAAAGCTATGGTTGGTTAAATTTGGATTATGATAATATTATAAATGCACTTAGGGCAGAAATTTATCCAACCGTGACTAAATCTCCTACCCTTATAGATATGCTAGTAACCTTTTTACGTCCAAGTAAAAGGTTAAATAATTGTTGAGTCGATCTAAATTTACACAAAAACTTATTTGATATGTTTTTATGATATTGCCATTATTTTGAATTTTTTGTTTATTATAAATTATATATTTACTTATTGTTGAAATCACAATTATTGTCCGTGTACTATGTAAATTGGCCTTTTGATTATCATCATAAAATGTAACATGTACTTAATTTTAAAATAAAGTACAGTAAATTTCAAAAAAGATGAATAATCAATAAAAAAGCTCCTTTGTTTCTGTAAGCTGTATAGTTTCGTGACTTTTTATCATTGTCAGTTGAATAGTTCGTCATTATTTATTTTCCTTAAATTTTGTAACTGTCTGTGAATCAATTTCCGGTAAGTTAAACATGTTGGTGAATTAAATGTGTGGTGAAATAATTGTCTGTGAAATGAACTTGTCGGTGAAACGAAGTGTTAATGGAATGATTGACACGTACGTATCTATAAATTTATATGCCCAATAGATCAAATATAATATAAGTGATACCTACTCCGAATCAATTGATTATTTATTAATGTCAGCTATACTATATTTGGTTCTAGCCAATTTTTAATACAGCTATGTGGTTTCTTTACTACGTTCCAACAGATTAGTTTGATTAGATTGTAGCATGTTAATTTAGGGTCATGAATTTGTAATTTATTATAAAACATGAATGGTCAGTTTAGGCAAAAATATCTATTTAGAGTTTAGATAACCCTGTATATATGATAACGAATTTTGTGATTGATAGAGAATAAATCTGGTTTCTCCTATGTTGATAGTTACCTGATTAAGCAAGAATAAATAAGCTAATGGTCTGCCTTTGATTAATTTATTTTTATTTGTTCTGAATCAGCTAGTTCTTTTTTTATATGTGATATGGGTCAAAAGTTAAACTATTAAGCTGGTAAATTCAACAAATATTATTTTACATGAATGCATATTTTTAACTTGTCAGTGATCGTACTGCACCACACGTTCACAACTGCCCTAATTTATTATCCTTCTTTTCAATTTAGGTGGATTGAGATTAGATGAAAAAATCTCGATTTGAAAGAATATATGACTTGATAGATACTATTTGATAGACTTAAAAAGTTAATAGTAATTGACACAATTAGTAAAAAAATTGATTAACAGCTCAAGTGAATTCGTTATTATGATAAAATCATTGAATTAGTTTATATTATTATTATAATAATTATTTATTGAAATTTTGAAAGGAGTTATTTATTTCATTAAACTTTTTATGTCTAAGAGTATTACTTATTCATCTTGATTTGTTTTTGTATACAATCTATTTCCATTCACTTATTTGTAATTCAAATAGTTATTATGGTATTAATATATTTTAATATAAAATAGCTATTTATATTAGGAAAAAATCTTAAATTTAATGTTATTTAACAGGGGTGTCGGTGGCGCCTGTTCTACTCTTGTAATATTATAATTTAAGTTTAAAGATAAGAAAAAAGTTTTATATAAGTTTTGTTAGATATAGAATATGAAAAATTCTAGTATTATATAGGCTGCCGTCAATAGAAATAAGGCAGATTGACATTTTAAAAAAAAATGCCTTAACTTTCACATCTTATATCTCGTTGAATTTTAAGGCTATCTTGATAATTTAATATTCAAAAGAAAGCTTAGATTGTATGCTTTCATTTGAATAATAAATAATTAGGACAGTCTCAAAATCTATTGAGATATTGGCTGTGAAAATTAAAGCATTGATTTTTTTTAAAATGTCAAACTTCCTTATTTCTATTAATGGTAGCCTATATAGTACTCTAATAACAAGAATTATCTATAATCTAATATCAATATTAATTAATGCTAGGGCTTAATAAAACTTATCAATTGCTTAAACATCTTATCTCTTATTTCTTTATATTAATTTAGTAAATAATTATAAAGATTATTTTAATTAATAAATTTGAAATAAACTATTCAAATTTATAGATATTATATTATTCAAATTCAACCTTGAGTAGTAGATATTGTGATGACTAGAAAACGGCGACTCAGTCGCTTCACAATCCAAAAACTCGTGTAACCTGGGTAAGTAACCTTT